CAGCCTCAGAGGCCATGCTATTTGAGGAGGCCCTGGAGAAGTACGGGAAGGATTTCAATGATATTCGCCAGGACTTTGTAAGTGGGTGGGACTAGGAGGAGAGGTGGAAGAGGTGACAGGTGAGGGAACCAGGACCAGGGGCCAGATAGCAGCTCATCCTTCTTCCTTGTGCCTCCTCAGCTACCCTGGAAGTCACTGGCCAGCATAGTTCAATTTTATTACATGTGGAAAACCACAGACCGATACATTCAGCAGGTGAGGTCTGGGCTGGGGAGGCTGGACCAGAGGCCTCCTGCTCACCTCTGCCTTTGAAGTTGGTGACATCCTCCCTGCTGAGATGCTCTGATCCTTTTTACTTTTTCTCCTTCCTGCAGAAAAGATTGAAAGCTGCTGAAGCAGACAGCAAACTAAAACAAGTCTACATCCCCACCTAGTAAGTGTGATGGGTAGGGGAGACAGGCATGTTTCCCTTCTCAGGCCCTAACCTGTGCTTTCCTAAGTGATTGGGGGGTGGGCCGGAGACGCGGTCAAATTATAGAGACAAAGTGGAAGTGGATTCTTTTCCTTGACCAGTTCCTGGTTTCTCCCCCATTAGCACCAAACCAAACCCTAACCAGATCATCTCTGTGGGCTCAAAACCTGGCATGAATGGGGCTGGATTCCAGAAGGGCCTGACTTGTGAGAGTTGCCACAGTGAGTTCCAGGGAGGGATAGGGATGCCGGGGGTGAGCCGGGCGTTTGCTCTGGCCCAGCAACCTGAGAGGCTCAGGTAGCCTCCGGACCATTCCCTCCTCTCCATGCTCCTGCAGCCACACAGTCTGCCCAGTGGTATGCCTGGGGCCCACCCAACATGCAGTGCCGCCTCTGTGCTTCCTGTTGGATCTACTGGAAGAAGTACGGGGGACTGAAGACCCCAACCCAGCTTGAGGGGGCTGCTCGGGGCACCACAGTAAGGATGGATGATGAGGGACAGGTTGGGGAGAGCAGTAAGCTAATTGATGTGAGCTTTAGGCGAGGGCCAGAACACCCAGCTCCAGTAAGGTGATGGCTTGACTGGCGTGGGGGTGGGGTGGTACTGGACAGTGGTTGGGGAGCCAGGCAGGTCGGGATGGCAGCAAAGAGATCAGGCAGGAATAAAAGACCCTCCATCAAGAATGGAAGAAGGGAGCCTTGGTGACTGACTGTTCTCCCCTTTTCCTATGTCCTTCTTCCAGGAGCCACACTCGAGGGGTCATTTATCCAGACCCGAAGCCCAGAGTCTCTCCCCCTATACGACCAGCGCCAACCGGGCCAAGCTGCTGGCTAAGAACAGGCAGAGATTCGTGCTGCAGACCAGGGAGCTGACCCGTCTAGCCAGACGCATGTGCAGGGACCTGTTACAGCCGAGGAGGGCTGCCCGACGACCTTATGCCCCCATCAATGCCAATGCCATCAAGGCAGAGTGTAAGGGCAGGAGTGCTGGGGCTGGTGGCAAGTTCGGGGTTGCTCTGGCCAGAGACCAGTGTTTCTCTGGGTGTTTAAGGACAGTAGTAGGGATAGTAGGCCACAAGGATTTGTTACAAGGTTAGGCATGGTTCCTGGCCCCAGAGGAGGCCTGAATAGTGAAGGCCCTACAAAAGCGTTCATCTTTGTTCTCCAGGCTCCATTCGACTCCCTAAAGCCGCCAAGACTCCACTGAAGATTCACCCTTTGGTGCGGCTCCCCCTGGCAACTATTGTCAAAGATCTGGGTAAGGGTGGGTATAGGATGGGGAACCTTTAGGGTGGTGTCTGGCTCCCGGTCCTTTCATCATTAAGATCCTTCTCTTCCCCTGCTTTTTACTTTCCCATTGAGTCCAAAGAGGTTTAGTCTAACAGACTGTACTTTTGTAGGTTAAAAATGTTATTTTTCACACGCTATCCAGTATAACTATATACTGATTGATAAGATCATACTCATGTGTGACTTTTGAAATACTGGTGATTACTCTCCAGACCCCTCCCCCATCACTGCTTTTGGGGATGCATACAGAAGAGGAAGTGTGAACGTCCTCTAAGGTTTCCTTTTTTTTTTTTTTCCCTGACAGTGGCCCAGGCACCTCTGAAACCAAAAACACCTCGGGGTACCAAGACACCGATCAACAGAAACCAGCTGACCCAGAACCGGGGACTGGGGGGCATCATGGTGAAACGGGCCTATGAGACTGTGAGTTGACAGACTGGAGTGGGCCACGTTGAGTTGGGTGGGCTTTTATATCTGATAGGTGTCTGAGAGTCCCCTCTCTCATTGTGCTGCCCCATCCTTTTCCAGATGGCAGGAGTCCCCTTCTCTGCCAATGGAAGGCCTCTGGCCTCAGGGATTCGCTCAAGCTCACAGCCAGCAGCCAAGCGTCAGAAACTAAACCCAGCTGATGCACCCAATCCTGTGGTGTTTGTGGCCACAAAAGATACCAGGTAGGGAGCCCTCCATGGGAGGGGCTGAGAGGTTGACAACCTAGATTGGTGGATATGGGAAAGGAAATAGGAAGGAGTATCTGAGCAAGACCAGCTCCACGAAGACTGGGTGCAGGGTGGGGATGTTAGGAAGGAATGGGCTGGAAGGTGGAATTGTAGTGGGATGTGGGGTTTCATCTTGAAGGTCTTTGCTTTTTTTATTGCCCCCTTCTCTTCTTGGCCAGAGCCCTGCGGAAGGCTCTGACCCACCTGGAAATGCGGCGAGCTGCCCGCCGGCCCAACTTGCCCCTGAAGGTGAAGCCACCACTGATTGCAGTGCGGCCCCCAGTCCCTCTTCCTCCATCCTCACATCCTGCCAGCACCAGTGAGCCCATTGTCCTGGAAGATTGAGCATCTGTGGGGAAGGGAGGTGGGCTGAAAGCTAGAGGGTGGGTGCACAGGGCACCTAGCCTCCCTTCCCTTTAGTATCAAAGGGAATGAGGAGTGAAGGAGGGAGCAAGTGAGTGTGTCCTTGGAGGGGTTGGACGCCCTCTGGTGTTAGCACTTGGAGGCTTGTCCCCTTCCAGTGCTTCTCTGTGCCTGGTGGTGAAGGGCAGACTGCAGGAACTGGCCCATTGTGGGAACCTAGCCTGTTTTTGGGGGTAGGACCCACAGTTGTCTTGGACAGTTTTGGGGGGAGGGTTTTTAAATTTTTAAAAAATTTTGCCTCCCTTTGTGAAAGGGGATGGGGGAGGGGAAGAGTAAACAGATATCAGGTGGTGGTATCTGGTTGGGGGAGGGGGGCGTGCACTGCCATGACTGCCATGTCCTTTTTTTTTTTTTTTTTTTCCTAATTGAGGGTTTCTCTTCCTGTCCGGTGTCCGGACTTTCCTAATTGGAGTTTGAGGTCCCTAAGCTGGTATCAACCCCAGCCTATGCTCGCTCTTTCCTTCCCTCCCCTTGTCCCCTCTGCCTTTTGTATGCCAGTTCTCAGAAATAAAGACCTTTTGTCTGTTTTTTTAACCTCGGATTCTGTAATTGGTTCTTATAGTAACAAATAAAAAGCTGTTTTCTTCAGCTCCTCCTGGCTCAGCTATTCTCTGCCGTGTGCATGCGTGTGTATGTGTGTGTGTGTGTGTATGTGTGAAGGTGCTTCTTTATTTCCTAACTCTTAATCCCGTCTCCCTTTTTTTTTCTTTTTTTTTTTGCGGTACGCGGGCCTCTCACTGTTGTGGCCTCTCCCATTGCAGAGCAAGGCTCCGGACGCGCAGGCTCAGCGGCTGTGGCTCACGGGCCCAGGCGCTCTGCGGCATGTGGGATCTTCCCGGACCGGGGCACAAACCCACGTCCCCTGCATCGGCAGGCGGACTCTCAACCACTGCGCCACCAGGGAAGCCCTCCCCTCTCCTTTTTACTTAGAGGATTCTGGGAGTTGTTAGAGGCCAGAGCAGGATGTAGCCCACTTTGGGGTGTACTGTAGGATCATATCACCTAGCTCTGTGGTGTATTTGCACAGACTGCTGCTTCAAGGATCCCCAAGGGCAGCCTCAGCAACTGCCTTGATATTGGGGCCCACTCTAGCGCTGTTTCCTCCCTTTTTAAGTTTGGGAGACAGATTAGACATGTGAGCTGGTCCCAACAAGAGGAGCACCTTAGGAGAGAGAACGAGAAGTTAAGCCTACTGTGTGCTCCTTGAGCACTTTCTTTAGAGATGGGGAAAAGCCTCAGCAGTTGTGACTTGCTCAAGGTTAGATCCTGAGATGTCTGCCTCAGGTCCGCTGCTCTTTCCACAGCCGGAAGCTGTGGAAAGCTGTCGGTTGATCAAACACAGCAGGAGCTGCTTAGCCCAGCTGATAGGCCCCTCCATCTCATGGTCCTTGTCCCTGGGGCCTCCCTAGCTCTCTTACTCCCTCCCTGGCCTGAGCCAACACCTCGGTAGTGTAGGGAGGAACTGACCACTATAACAGTCTAGGGGGAAGCAGCACCCTCCAGTGTCTTCACTCAGCTGCCACCATAGCAGGTTCTGCTAAATGCCTTTAAGTGGGCTGGTGGCTCTGGCTCCTGGTGGGTGCACTCCACGCAGCCCGCTTACGCGGAAGAGAGGCGATCTGGCTGTAGCCCGTGGAGTGCGGAAGGTGCCCGGTGGGGGCAGAGCTCCCCAACCAGGGTTAGGGAGAATTTGCAGAACTCCCATTCTGGGAGAGGACCGACGGCAGAGGGAGAGGGTAACAGCCCTGAGGAGGCTGGGAGTTTAGGGACAGTGCGGGCTTTGTGGAGGATACGCCTTTATTCACTAGGTAAGTATGGGGTTGGGGATACAGTCTCTACTGCCCCTTGAAGGAGTACACAGCCGGCTCTCGACCACGCAGCAGGGAAACCGCCTGCCGTCATGCAGCGGGCCAGGCAAGAAACCCGGCACAAGCTGTAGCTGCCTTATGAATATTCACGACCTTTGGGCCAATCAACGTCTGAACAGCTCAGAGCACACCAATTGGCTTACCGCATGCAGATAGCATCGTAGATGGTATTTCTAAAGCTGGTAGAGACTTAAGTCGGGCTGGAAACGGAACCTTGAGCGGAAAGAGCTCGGTTTCCGGAGGAGTGTTCCGCGCGATTGGGAGACGTCTACGTCACTTCCTATCGGATGGGCGGAAGTTGCTTCCCAGCATGTTGCAATTTGTAGAAGAGAGTTCCGGTCGTGGCCGAAGTGGTTGCGTTTTTTAGTACTGGACAGTTGTGATGGCTGCGGTGGATTCGGATGTCGAACCGCTGCCTCGCGGGGGTTTCCGCTGCTGTCTCTGCCACGTCACTACGGCCAACCGTAAGCGGTGGCTAGTGAGGGGGGTGTTTATGGGCTTTCGTCTTTGGGTCCTAGCGAAAGTTAGGGTTATAGGTCATAGTTCTCGCCAAGTCCTTGGTAGGGTCTCACCTCCGTTTTCTCTCCGCCGTCCGAAGGGATTACAGAGTGGGGGAGAGTCCCACCACCTTACACCCCAGCTTCCCAGTATCCGAGATCTCGACGACAGAAGTTTCGTTATTTTATTTCCTCTTTAACCGTCATCTATTGGATATTTGTTCCCTTTGTGCCTGCCTCTCCGCTGGGCTCTAGAGCGGGGAGAGGGGATTTGGAGATGAAGGAGCTTACCACCTAGAGATGGAAACAATTTCAGTACCCTATAGATGTGTTTGGAAAGCTGCAGGGTCACAGAGAAGGTAGTAATTAAGTGAGGGAAGCCCTACAGAGGAGCTTCCCAAAGGCAGAGACGGGTGAGGTAGCATGGTACGCATGTTAGGAACGTGGGTTTGGAAAAGGAGACAAGGTCCTTTTATGACAGCGCGAGAGGCTCAATGAAACCTCATATTCCACTTTTGAAGTCTGGAATCATAATCTCCCCTAAACATGATCTTTCATTCTTTTCCTTTTTGAATGGCACTACCACTTGTCCAGTAGGGCAAGCTAGAAATCCAGGATAGTCTTCTCTGGCCCCACATATACACTGGTGACATCAAGCAGCTGACTCAAAATGTAATAAAAATTTAAAAATCAGCTAAGTTTTCCCGCATTCACCATGTACCAGACCCTCAGGCAAGTGCTATATGTGAATAATATCAATGTGGTAGGTACTATTATTATCTCCGTTTTGTACCTGAGGAGACATGAACAGCGAGGTTAAGTAAGTTGCTCGAGATTTCGCACAGCTTGTCAGAGCTGGGATTTGATTCTGGGTAGTGTGACTTCTGATCCTGTGCTTGTAATCTCTATACTATACCCAGAAATGATAAATAGTCTAGGGTCCTGATTTATTTAGTTCTTCTATAAATGACCTAGATAAGTTACCTGTTAATTTCTTTACAGTGTGCAGGTGTTGCTCAACCTAGCACTTGTAGATGGTTTAAGAAATACTTGTGGGGCTTCCCCGGTGGCGCACTGGTTAAGAATCCGCCTGCCAAATGCAGGGGACACAGGTTCCAGCCCTGGTCCGGGAAGATCCCACATGACGTAGAGCAACTAAGCCCGTGCACCACAACTACTGAGCCTGCACTCTAGGGCCTGCGAGCCACAGCTACTGAGCCCACGTGCCACAACTACTGAAACCCGTGCGCCTAGAGCCCGCGCTCCACAACAAGAGAAGCCACTGCAATGAGAAGCCCGCACACTGCAACAAAGACCCAATGCAGCCAAAAAAAAAAAAAAAAAAAAAATTGAAAAAAAAAAAAAAAAAAATTGAAAAAAAAAAAAAGAAATACTTGTGTACAGCCAGTTCTCCTGGGAATCACTTAAAATGCTTTATATAGACAAATGGACAAGAGAGGAAGCTGCAAGGAGCCAGGACTTTGTCATTCAAATGTCACATTTTCTATGGCTTGGAAGAATCAGTAGGATCTAGGTATGCCGAGAAAAAAGTCGGGGTAGGTACACTGAAGAGCAATTCGGATGTTTTTGTCCTCACATTTGTCTTTGCAGGACCCAGCCTAGAGGCTCACCTGGGAGGCCGAAAGCACCGGCACCTGGTAGAACTACGAGCTGCTCGAAAGGCCCAGGGACTTCGAAGCGTGTTTGTCAGTGGCTTTCCCCGGGATGTGGGTTCTACTCAGCTCTCTGAGTACTTCCAGGCATTTGGACCTGTGGCCAGTATTGTCATGGACAAGGACAAGGTAGAGTGAGTGGCTCTGGGGGTAAAGAATGAGTCAGGTGTCCTGCACACCAAAAGAAATGGGGCGGGAGACCAGCAGCCTGTTTCTGCTGGTTCCTAATGTGGCTTGCCCTTGGTGGACACTCCAGTACTTGGGCTAATCCAGCTTTGTGAGTCTCTCACCCTCGCCCCTCGACCCCTGCTTGGATTTTATCAGTTCATCAGAATTAGTCATTGGGGAACTTGTTGGTCATTTATTTATTCAGTCAGTCTTTTATTTGCCAAATATTTACTAGCTGCTAACTTTGTACTAGCCACTGCTTAGAACTGCATTCTGAGTAGTGCATAGGTTAGTCATGGGCCCTGCTTGCACAGACCTTACAGTCTAGTGGAGGAAGTAGACAATTAAATGAGTAACTAGTACAGTGAAGTGGGTGCTTTAAGACCACACCATTGGGAGATCTATCCTAACCCTTCAAGAAACTGGTTGATAAACCAGCTAACAGTTTATTAACTTATGCTGAAAGGTACTGAGGTCATCTGGTCAGAACACCCTGTCCTCTGGACAATGCAAGACAAACAGACTTGTTCTTTGCAGTCCTTTTTGTCTTGCTTCCATGCCGACCTTTTGTCAGAGTCTCTCTAGTCCCCTGGGAAAAGTTTGCCGTTGTGGTGATGTGCTCCGTGGTCATATTGTAGCTCTGAGGCTACACTCTGGTTTTGTGGGCTTAGATGATCCCAAATCTACTTAGCAGCTCAGGTCTTCTTTTACCACGCCATGGGGTCTGTTTTTCTTAGAAATTGCACTCAGCAACCGACTCACAATGGTTTAAACAAACAGGGTTCAGTTGTTCTCTTATAACAAGAAGTCCAGACCTGGGCCGTCCAAGATTTTACTGTTTTCCTGCTCTGTCATTATTGGCATATGGCTCTCACTTCATAGTTGTGATTATGCTGGTTCCACATCTTCCGGCAAGAAGCAGCAGCAGGTTGAAGGGCAGACTGTCAAAGGCTATAGGGTCATCTGAGTCTGATCCCTTCCCCCGCTTTCTTTATTTCCCAGGAAAATATTTCTCAGAGGCCTCTTCAGCAGACATCTCCTTATATTTCATTGTCCAGAACTCTGTCTATCGCCTGGTTACTCCTAGCTACAGGGAAGCCTGGGAAATGAAGATTTTTTAGCTGGGCACTTTGCCCCTCTGAGCAAAAAGCAGGGTTCTGTTAGTAAGGAAGGTGGGAGAATGTATATTGGGTGGGCGATTGGCAGTGTCTGTCCCAGGTGACTTCTTCAGAAAGCTCAGTGCCACCATTTTTGTTCATATTTATTTCAATTGTAAAGAAACATCTTTTCCTGAACTTAAACCTCAAGTTTTTGAGGCTTCTATCAATAATTATAACAATAATGACTAACATTTTTATGGAGCAATTATTATGCACCAATTATATGCTAAATACTGTATATCTTTTTTTGTGTGTGTGTGTGTGTGGTACGCGGGCCTCTCACTGTTGTGGCCTCTCCCATTGCGGAGCACAGGCTCCGGACGCGCAGGCTCAGCGGCCATGGCTCACGGGCCCAGCCGCTCCGCGACATGTGGGATCTTCCCGGACCGGGGCACGAACCCGTGTCCCCTGCTTCGGCAGGCGGACTCTCAACCACTGCGCCACCAGGGAAGCCCTAAGTACTGTATATCTTATTTAATCTCCACAACATTTCCTTGAGATCATCACTGGGGAAGTTGGAGATTTGGGGGAGTCCCTACTTGGGAGGCAGTCGCGAGTTACTTAACCTCTCTGAGTTTCAGTTGCTTAATTTGTAAAAAGGGAATAATAATACATACCTTGTTGTAGGAATCTTATGAGACTTCGAGATAGCTTACGTGAACTGTTCAGTTAATAATAAGCCCTCAGGGGGCACGGGTTCAGTCCCTGGTCGTGGAACTAAGATCTTGCATACCACACAGCGCGGCCTAAAAAAAAAAAAAAAAAAAAGACCTCAGTAAATAGTGGCTGTAGTTGGGGATGCTGGTATTGAGAGGAGAAAAATGGCCGGGATACATCCTTCTGAATCTGCTTATTCCGCCCTCCCTGATGCCTTTTGTGCAGTTCTTGAGAGAAATACGTGCACACAGACAAGGCCAGGCAAAGAGACACCTAATTGCTAGCTGGGGCTTCGGCTGCAAACTTGGTGTTGCGCTGCAGTCTGTTGAGCTGTGTGATTCCTCAGAATCAGAAGATTCACTTGGGCAGGCCCAAGTGGCTGCCTTTCTCCTTAGTTTCACTTTGGTTCTTTGTGCTGTTTGACATAGGGTAGAAGTGAGGGTAGACAGGGGACCCCCTTTTCTTTTCCCCCCCCTTGTATTGTCAATTGATATTATATATTATTAAGATATATAATTCACTGGTTGTTAGTATATTTGGAAGATTCTGCAACCATCATATGATCTAATTCCAGAATGTTTTTTATCACCCCAAAAAGAAACTGTGAACCTATTATCTGTCATTCTCCAATTGTGATTCAGGCCTGTGTGCTGGTGAAGCCATCCCCCTGGTTAATTTTTGTATATGGCATGAGGTGGGGGTCCAACATCATTCTTTTACATGTGGTTATCCAGTTATCCCAGTTGAGAAGACTGTTCTTTTCCCATTGAATGGTCTTAACACCTTTGTTGAAAATCAGTTGGTCATAGATGTACGAGTTTATTTCTGGAGTCTCAATTACATTCTCTTCATCTGAATGTCTGTCTTTTTAAAAAAAAAATTAATTAATTTTTGGCTGCATTGGGTCTTCATTGCTGCATGCGAGCTTTCTCTAGTTGTGGCGAGCAGGGGCTAACCCTTCGTTGTGGTGCACAGGCGTCTCATTGCGGTGGCTTCTCTTTGTTGCAGAGCATGGGCTCAGGAGCGTGGGCTTCAGTAGTTGTGGCTCGTGGGCATAGTTGCACTGCAGCATGTGGGATCTTCCTGGACCAGGGCTCGAACCTGTGTCCCCTGCCTTGGCAGGCGGATTCTTAACCACTGCACCACCAGGGAAGTCCTGAATGTCTGTCTCTATGCCAGTACCACACTGTCTTTTTTTTTTTTAATTAAAAAATTGTTTGGGAATTCCCTGGTGGTACCGTGGTTAGGACTAGGTGCTTTGGCGGTCAGGGCCTGGGTTCAATCCCTAGTCAGGGGAGTAAGATCCCTCGAGCTGTGCGGCATGGCCAAAAAAAATTTTTTTTTAATTGAGGTAACATTGGTTTGTAACATTATATAAATTTTATGTGTATAACATTATATTTCTATTTCTGTATACCCTACAGCATGATCACCACCAAAAATTTAGTTTCCATCCATCACCATACAGTTGATCCCCTTTACGCATTTTGCTCTGCTTCTTCCCCTCTGATAATCACTACTCCTCTCTGTATCTGTGTGTTTATTTTTGTTTGGTTTGTTCATTTATTTATTTATTTATCTATTTAATAGATGTTTTTATGGTACATATAGTACTTTATTTTTTAGAAAACTGTATTTATTTATTTATTTATTTAGGCTGCGCTGGGTCTTAGTTGCAGCACGCAGGATCTTTGTTGAGGCACGTGGGATCTTTTAGTTGCAGCATGTGGACTTCTTAGTTGTGGCATGCATGCAGGATCTAGTTCCCCGACCAGGGCTTGAACCCAGCCCCCTGCAGTGGGAGTGTGGAGTCTTACCCACTGGACCACCAGGGAAGTCCCTGTTCATTTATTTTGTTTTTTGTTTGTTTTTTATATTCCATATATAAGGGAAATCATATGGTATTTGTCTTTCTTTGTCTTACTCATTTCGCTTAGCATAATACCCTCAAAGTCCATCCATGTTATTGCAAATGGCAAGATGTCTTTTAGTAGCTGAGTAATATTCTGTTGTATATATACACCTCATCTTGTTTATCCATTCATCCATTCAGGGGCACTTAGGTTGTTTCCATATCTTGGCTATTGTAAATAATGCCGCAGTGAACATAGGGGTGCATATATCTTTTTTTTTTTTTTTTTTTTTTTTTTACAC